CCAGCTCGGCTCCCTCAATGGCCGCTCCGTTCTCCAGCCATGCTGGCTTTCTTTTAGGTCCTCTACCTCTGGGCTACAGTTCATGTGCTTCCTTCTTTCTGGAATTTTCTTCCTGACCTACCCAACTCAACCCTCAGACTTTACTACAAATGTCATTTCCTCACATCCCCCTTCCCTGACCTGAGATCAAGCGTCTCCCTGACCCAAGACCAAGCCAGAACGAGCCTCACAGCACCCCATCTCCCCTCCACAGAGGCCGTAATAACCCACAGAACCTGGGGCCATGATCTGTGGCTTTGAACCCTGGCTCTGTCACTTGGCCAGGTCTCTCAGCCTTTCTGTGCCTCAGTTTCCTCATCTATAAAATGGAAATGACAGCAGTGTCTGCTCATAAAGTGTGGCGAGAGCTAAATGAGTTAATGCACTCAAATCAATGGTGCTGCATGGTTAATGCTGTATAAATAACAGTGACTACCAAATATTATCAACAGGCCTTGTCACAACTGTTATTAAAGAACTAATCATGCATTGGTTATTAGATCTTTCTCTCCTGCCAGCATGTGCGCTCCAGCTGGAGAGGGATGCTGCCTTATCCATGGCTGGATCTATAGAGATTCTTACAATGCCTTGCACACAAACACTATTGGGTACGTATTTGCTGGCTGCAGGAAAATGTGAAGGAATATGCACCCCGAATGGGAGGAAGAGAATGAGTCAGGAGAGCAGAGCCACCACAGGAAACCAGGAGGCTAAGTGGGGTGGAAGGGAGTGAGCTCTCAGACTCTCAGGAGCAAAACCTTCTAAGCTGGGCTCTTACCTCAGCCCCTCCCACACAAGGAATCCAGATGGGTTCCCCAGGACCAGGCTCTCCCCTAGGGGGCTGCTCCCAGAGGGTAGGTTGCTGGGACTGCCCAGGATGGGGATGGTCCTCTGATCAGGAGGAGGTGGGTGGCAGCACCCACCTGCTGAAGATGTCTCCAGAGACCTTCTGCAGGTACTGCAGGGCGTCCGCCATCTGCTGGACGGCCTCCTCTCGCCGCAGGTCTGGCTGGATGAGGGGCACGGCATACGTCTGACCTGCCAGGGAGTGCTGGGTCTTCACAGGATTCATGGTGCCTGTGGGTGGGAGCCGGAGCATCAGAGCTGCCCACGCCCACCCGCACCCACTCACTGTAATCCAGCCATGAGTACAAGGCTAAGGAGTGGCAAGAGTACATACACAATTCTCCTCAGAAAGGAAGGAGAGACAACACAGCCCTCATCCCAACTATGCACATAGCTTCAGCCTGCACAAATAGGGGAGAAGGGGACACAGCATTTGGTGGGAGGCCAGGAGCACACAGATGGGAGTCTGCTGATGCCTGCTGAGTGAATGAGGGAGGGGGAGGGCAGGACCAGGGACTGGGGAATTGGTAGGGCCAACGGAGGAGTTCAGAGAAGGTGCAACATTTCTGATGCCTTACAAGGTGCTTGGTAGCTGCCAGGCACCCTTTCCATACACTGTCTCAGTTCAGCTCCCCACCTCAGATAAACAAGAAAGAAACCTTAGTTGCAGAGAACAAAAGAGGCTGAAAACCAAGGGATGGAAATGGGGTAGTTGGGGAGATTGCCTGATCAACTGCCAAATGGTACCCAGTTCTGGAAAAGCACAAAAAATGTGCACACATGGGTTCTTCCCACTTTAACCCCTGAGAATTTGAGGTCTGCTCCTGAAACAGACTGGGCAGTGGCTAGCGACTCTAGGTATAGGGGTGTCCAGCCCTGCTCACCTAGATAAGAGCTTAGGGGGCCTTAGAGGAAGGAGGTGCATGTGGGGGTGGAGGACAGGAAGGAAAAGCACTCCTGGAATTGCAAAGTGAGGGCAGAGTCTATTTATACTGGGTTTAATTAACTCCTCTCCCTGGTGCCACTAAAGCAGCAATCACACTGCAGACGGCACTGATTTGATTGGCAAGAGGTGCACCAGGCAGAATATTAAGGGACCAGGCCCCTATAAATAGGCCTAATCACAGCCCCTCACTGGAAAACGGTAAGGAAGACATTAATCAGCCCTGGCACTGTGCCCTAGACCCGCTCTCCTAAGCACTACAGTGGGGCCTTGGTTGCAACACAAGTGGGTGGGGCTGGTGAGTGTGGCATGAAGGGACGAGGTTTCATGTGAGTTTAAAATGCTGTGACACTGGGTAAGTTGCCTTCTCTGAATCTGATCCTTTCTATTTCCCATTCTCCAGACTGAGAACCAGCACTGCTGAGATGTGGTTATTCCCAATAATAATTTGTATATTTTACATAACGCACAGCACGAACATCTTCACCCAGCTGAAGCCTACTCCTTTGCTCCCCTGCTGGCTTCCCCAGCCCTTCCTTCTGCCCTCCTCAGGCCAGCACTGTTCATGATCTGAGGCGACCATCCTGCTCTTCAGCTTTTTCTCCAGCAGTGAGCTCCTCCTTTGTGTACAGGCTTTCCAGACCTGTACTTGGCTTGAATAATCATCAGGGCCCAGGAGTTACTCCTCACCTCCCACTTCTTTTTCCACCAATCATATAACCAAAGCACGGCCAGCTGATGCCCAGCCATCTGAGAAGCCTAACCCTCTGAGACCATCACAGCCCTTGCAAGAATGAGTGTTTTTTTTTTAACAAACCGGGCTCTGTTTATCATTCTTCTAGTACTTCCCCAAGGATGATTGTACCCTCAGCACTCAAGACCACTTGCTGTTCCCCTACACACTTTTGCTCAAGCTGTTTCTTGAACATTCCCTCCCCTTCTTTGTATTTACACTGATGCAAGTTTGCTGGCCATCCTAACTTATTTCTGTGCCTCAATTCTCCCATATGTAAGATCACAAACAGGGTAAAGGTGCAAGATATTTCCTGTGCACATCTTAAGATGAATTCCTTGTTAGTGTGTGTAAGATGAATTCCTTGTTTGTGCGTATGCTGTTTGCTCAGACACACATAAGACTACATACACAATTCTCCTCAAAAAGGAATCAGCAAGCCCATTCAAGAACAGGACTGAAGGCTGGGCATGGTGGCTCATGCCTGTAATCCCAGCACTTTGGGAGCCTAGGTGGGTGGATCGCCTGATGTCAGGAGTTCAAAACCAGCCTGGCCAACATGGTGAAACCCCTTCTCTACTAAAAATACAAAAATTAGCTGGGCATGGTGGTGCACATCTGTAGTCCCAGCTATTTGGGAGGCTGAGGCAGGAGAATCACTTGAACCTGGGAGGCAGAGGTTGCAGTGAGCCAAGATCGTACCACTGCACTCCAGCCTGGCAACAGAGCAAGACTCCATCTCAAAAAAAAAAAAAAAAGAAAGGGGCTGAATACACCTGATAAGTGGTTTACTTTCTGTCTGCAAACATATCTACTGACTATTTATTAGGCACAGGCCATGGTCACAACAAAGATGAATAGCACACTACACTAGCCAGGGAGATAGTCTCAAAAATAATTAAACTCAAATTAAATTCCCTCTAATCCAGTCATGAGTACAAGGCTAAGGAGTGACAAATCCCTTTTGGGGTTAGGGGGTCAGGATAAAGCTCTTAGCAGAATGTGTGCCTCTCAGCCGGGCGCGGTGGCTCACGCCTGTAATCCCAGCACTTTGGGAGGCTGAGTTGGGCAGATTACCAGAGTTCAAGAGTTTAAGACCAGCCTGACCAAGCTGGAGAAACCCCGTCTCTACTAAAAATACAAAATTAGCCAGGCGTGATGGCACATGCCTGTAATCCCAACTACTCGGGAGGCTGAGGCAGGAGAATCACTTCAACCCAGGAGGCAGAGGTTGCAGTGGGCCAAGATCGGGCCATTTCACTCCAGCCTGGGCAACAACAGCGAAACTCCATCTCAAAAAAAAACAAACAAAACAACAACAATAAAAATGAACGTGTGCCTTTCTACCAGGTCCGAAAAAGAAGGTGCAAAGTCAGCATTCCAGGTGAAAGAAACAGCTTGAACAGAAGTGTGTAGGGGAACAGCAAGTGGTCTTGAGCGCTGAAGGTACAATCATCCTTGGGGAAGTACTAGAAGAATGATAAACAGAGGCCAGTTTGTTAAAAAACACTCAAAATTAAGGTTAGGAGTTCAGACCTGTGGCAGGAATGAAATCCTTAGACCCATGCTGTCCAGTGTGGTAGCCACCAGCCACATGCAGCCACTGGGCACTTGAAATGTGGACCGTCTGAATTGAGATGTGCCATAAGTGTAAAATATGCACCAAGTTTCAAACACTAGGAAAAAAGAATGTGAAATATCTTATTAAAATATTTTATGTTGATTACATGCTAAAATAACCATATTTGGGATATACTGGATTAAAAAAAGTATTATTAATTTCATCTGTTTTTACTCTTAGAAATCACGTATGTGACTGAAACATTTCTTCTCTTTTTCTTTCCTCTCACTGAGTGTCTTATAATTCCAAAGAAATGAGTCTCTGTTCTTTTCGGGCAGGAGATATCCTAGAATGAACTCCGACCTAAGCATCAAAATTAATCATCTAACATGATCATTTTATGGCCCCTTCTTCCTATATCTGGTAGCTTTTAGATGATCATGAAGATAACCTTATTGTCCCTCTTTCAGCAGATGGCATTTTCTTACGCTACAACATGGCTGCTAATAATACCTACGTATGTCAGAACCGCCGTGACTCCTCAAGAATCTCATTTAACTCTTAATATTAGTGAATTTATCATAATCCCCAATTTTAGACAAGGAAATGGGGTTAGAAAGACCAAATCACATTTTTTTCAACATCAAAACACTAGCTTGAGATCAAGCCCAGATTGGATCCGTTGTCTGAATTCCAAGCTTTTTGTTATTTATTGACATGTTTTGTTGTTTTCATGCATTAGAAGTGCAAACTTTAGTTCAAATATTGTGTTAGTACTACTGTTAGTCACCTTATCTTGATACTTTGCCTTTATGTAAAGCTAAATTAGATCTGTTTTTGATACTGAGGGGAGAACAAGGGAATCTAACACTAACCAGCTCCTCCTGTGTGGTAAGCACTTTCATTACTTTAGTATACATCACCCCAATTGTTTGTCTTCAACACACACTTTAGAGGTAGGAAGTACAATTTTTACAAATGAGAAAGCCCAGGCACAAAGGGGTTAATTGGCAATCATCTTTTGAAAAGCCCGTGGTGCTCATCAGAAAAGGTGACGGATCACCTCTTATTTAGTGGACAGACAATAAATACCTGAGAAGACAGGGGATTTTGTTGGGGGGAAAAGTTGAAAAATTTATCAAAAGTCGTCTTGTCTAAGGGAGTTTTATAATGAGACACCCTATCTCCTCAGTTCCACAGTGGGTAACTGCAATTCATTCTAGGTCCGTAATATTTCCTGTCTATCCATTTTGTTACTCTTTAATCGATTCCATAAATGCATGAATATTATTTTAATAATGGTGTTTATCTTGCATCTATGTCATATTCATCAAGTTTTTTCTGATTCTTTTTAAGTGACAAAAGTTGCACATGTGTACCGCACAGTATTTCTAGTGCACAGCACCGGTTTAGAGAATGCGGCGTAAACAGCGCACTCCCAGGAAAATACACTAGACTGGGTAACTTATAAAGAAAAGAGGTTTAATGACTTACAGTTCTGCACAGCCGGAGAGGCCTCAGGAAACTTACAATGGCAGAAGGCACCTCTTCATAGGGTGGCAAGATAAAGAAATGAGAGCAGAGTGAAGGGGGAAGCCCCTTATAAGCTATCAGATCTGCTGAGAACTCACTCACCATTATGAGAACAGCATGGGGAAAACCATGACCATGAGTCGATTATTTTCACCTGGGCCCATCCTTGACACCTGGGGATTATTACAATTCAACGTGAGATTCGGGTGGGTCATAGAGCCAAACCATATCAATCAGGTTGCTTTGACGTCAGAAAACAGTAAATATAATTAGGAGAATTAGCATTTTTTTCTTTAATAGAAAAATATATGAGCATTTCAAGAGATACCAAAAAACTGTAAAGTTCAACAGCTATTCAAGGTAAAGATAGCTAGGCAAGCTAGTAGTACAAGGGAACATTTCTTTTTTTGAGACAGAGTCTCACTCCGCGGCTAGGCTAGAGTACAGTGGTACACTCTTGGCTCACTGCAACCTCTGACTCCCTGGTTCAAGTGATTCTCCTGCCTTGGCCTCTCGAGTAGTTGGGATTACAGGTATGTGCCACCACTCCCAGCTAGTTTTTGTATTTTTAGTAGAGACAGGGTTTCACCATGTGGGCCACAATGGTCTCAATCTCCTCACCTCGTGATCCACCTACCTCGGCCTCCCAAAGTGCTGGGATTACAGGCCTGAGCCACCACACCTGGCAGGGAACTTTCTTTTAACAGACACTAGATAGCCACAAAAAATGATAGAAAACATCTTACATGTCTCAATGCTTGAAATGCTGAAAGCACTTTCCTTTTCTATAAGAAGCAAGCCCATGGTCCCGTGGTCACCACTGCTACTCCACATTGGCTATGAAGTCCCAGGCAGGATAGCAAGACACAGACAAGAAACAAAAGGTGTAAGCATCAAAAAGGAAGAAATTTTCAAACATCGCTGTTCACAGATGATACAATTGTATAGGTAGAAAACCTAAAATAATCTAATGTAAATTATCCCCAGTAGCTAAATATTAAGAAATATATAATCCCAGCACTTTGCAGGACTGAGGCAGGCAGACCACCTGAAGTTGGGAGTTTGAGACCTGCCTGACAACATGGAGAAACCCCATCTCTACTAAAAATACAAAATTAGCTGGGCACTCAGGAGGCTAAGGCAGGAAAATCACTTGAACGCAGGAGGCAGAGTTTGCGGTAAGCTGCATTGCACTCCAGCCTGGGCAACAAAAATGAAACTCCAAAAAAAAAAAAAAAAAAAAAAAAAAAAAATTAAAAAAAAAAAAGATGTTACCTCATTCATGCAAAATCTAATGTGAGTTGGTGAAAACCCCTTTAGTTCTAGGCATCCTTTATCCTGTCGACCATCGCCTCACTGGTGGCCTCTGAGATCACCACGATGAAAGACAGATTGTTAGAGAAACACATCAACTTTTAAACATTTGGCCCAGGAGTGATCCATGACACTTCCACTCACATTTCATTCGCTGGAACTAGTCATGTGGCCCCACTTAACTACCAGGAAGTAGGAAGTGTAAACTTTCTGTGTGTCCCTCTGGTCATTCTTTTGCCCATATGCAGAACATACTCTCACTTTCTCAAGACAGAAAATCCGACTCCCGTAAATCAGCAAATGCAGCTTGAAATTGAGGGTCTTCTTAGGCTGGGTTCAGTGGCTCACATCTGTAATTCCAACACTCTGAGATACCAGGGCAGTGAATCACCTGAGGTCAGGAGTTTGAGACCAGCTTGACCAATGTGGTGAAACCCCATCTCTAAAAAATAAAAGAAAGGAAAGAAGAAAGAAAGAAAGAGAAAGAAAGAAAGAGAAACAAAGAGAGAGAGAGAGAGAGAGAGAAAGAAAGAAAGAGAAAGAAAAAAGAGAGAGAGAGAGAGAGAAAGAAAGAAAGAAAAGAAAGAAAGAAAGAGAAAGAAAGAAGAGAAAAAGAAATTGAGGGTCTTCAGGTGAACTGCTTTGTGCT